CCCTCCATTTCTTCCTTCCTTCCTTCCTTCCTTCCTTCTTCCTCCTTCCTTCCTTCCTTCCTTCCGTCCTGCCTCCCTCCCTCCCTCCCTCCCTTCCTCCCTCCCTCCCTTCCTTCCTCCCTCCTTCCTTCTTTAGATTTTGCCTATTAACAGCAATGCTGCCATGAATGATCTAGTTCATGTCTTTTGGTGGATATAGGTTTGGCATGTTTAGAAAAACACAGTCTATGTGCACAAACATGTGTATGCAGGTGGATACACAGTGTGATGCAACTAGCAAACTGCAGGCAGAAGACCACAGTTCAGGTCCCAGCACAGCCATTAACTGTGACTGCTCTTGATGGCAGCTTCCTCAGCTATGAACTAAGGAAGTTGGAGCCAGTGATCTTTTGTCTCTTTTCGTCCCCCCCGCCCCCCCCAAGGATAATGATCTCACTTTAAACAGATAGCGATCATCATCCCTTTAAATAGCCTCCTATAGTTTTCCTGCATTTCATTTTCACACATGGATGTTAATATTTGTTAGCAGAATGTTGTCATATTTCAAAATTACTTTAGAGTTCTTCTAAAGCAGCAGAGGTTAGTATTAAGGACAGTATTTGCTATCTTACAAGTTACAAAGAAAATCATAAAGTGAGGTCTATTTGGTTGAGGCATCAAGTAAATCAGGCGGAAACTTAAAGAGGCTTTTGTTGTAAGTGTGACCTAACCTGGAGTAACAGCAGGAAAGCAGGGACCTCACAGCTTTTAATGGGATTTTGATAAAATTCATTTGTGAACGTTTGAGGTCAGTAGCATAGACTTCCCATGACATTTATCTAGCCATGACGTTTAGTTTAGGAGTGCACTCATCACCTGCAGAATAAATATATACACTAATATACCTCCTTCCAAACACTTGGTAAGGGATATCTGATAAGACTTAGGTTGGATACAAGGTAAAATTCAGCACACAGGTGCGAAAAGCATGGTCAAGCTGGATTTGTTGATCTTAGAACTTGGCAAACGTTAAAATTGAGAAAGAATTCATCTTTGAGATTATCAAAAGTATACATAAACATGAAAAAGAAGATACTGACAAAATCATGACAACCACAAGGCAGCTTAAGAAATACCAAAATAATTTTTTGTGTATGTGGTTGTCCTCTTTGCTAAAGAGAATATGGCCTTTTTAACATTTGCGACTTAAATTTTTCAAAAAGAGAACAAAGAATTTAATGCGAACTAACTTGAATATTGACTATTTTATATGATGCTCTAGAGATGAATCAGACTCTAGTTTTTGAACACTAGAGAATACAATACACTAGAGTTCCCAGAACCTAACAGTTTTTCAATAAAAGGCAAACAAGGATTTGAAAAAACATATTATAAATATAATATATGCTTCCAGGTATTTTCTATATAGATGCTGTTAAATATCCATCTACTCCACTAAGCTTAACAGAGCAGCATGCTGGCTTTTTATATATATAGATACATCTATCAAAGTAAAAATATTGTTTCAATTTGTTTTTTAATTTGATATATGTTGGCATACTATCCTCGTGAGCACCTTTTCACATCGACAGACACAGGCTGACAGTCTGCTGTCCCACAGTGCAGACATGTCATCGTGTAATACAGCCTGGCAAGTCTGGGCAAGCAGATCTGCAGGGAAAACTTCTAAGTTGAGATGCCATAATGAAAAAAGATTGATAAGTTTGGCTCATAATATAAAAATGTATGTATAGCCAACATACATTTTTGTTTGAAATTGTTAGATCAAAGTGTAGACTTAGGACACTTTTTTGAAGGGTACTGTCATACTGAACTCCAAAAAAAGGTCAATTTTCATCACCTCTCATAGTGTATAAAAAGGCCCGTTTCCTATATTGTTAACAGTATTAAGTGTTATCATTAATTTTAAAACTTCTATTAGTTGGAGAGGTAAGAAAACTGTTTTCATTTGTATT